GGCCAGGCACAGTGGCTCATGCCTGTAATCCTAACACTTAGGGAGGCCGAAGCGGGAGGATCGCTTGAGCCCAAGAGTTCAAAACCAGCCTTGACCCCTCCTGGGGTCTCTCACTCTTACCCACCGTTCTACCCTGATGGGGTGGCTGGTGGGGGAATTGTGTCTGGACCGCCAGTGGGTCCCAAGAGTTAGGAGCTGCCTCATCTGTGGGGGCCCCAGGTGGGAATAAGCAGAACCCCGAATGCACTACCCCCTTTTCAGTATCAAGCTCTGGGATTGGTGGTACTCCCCCAACAAAGATGTCTAACACTCCAGTGGGTGATAGGAACCCATCCTCTGCTTCACCACCAGCCACCTTCCCCCATGTGGCACCAAACCTGCCTCCCCTATCTGCCCAAGCCCCCTCAACAATGCATCAGCGGCTGGGCATGGTGACTCATGCCTGTAATCCCAACACTTTGGGAGGATGACACAGAAGGATCACTTGAAGTCAGGAGTTCAAGACCAACCTGGCCAACATGGCGAATGGGACCCCATTGGGTTACTGAGGCACCTCGCCACCGGCAGACCTTCAAGCCAGCCTTGCCCACTGTGGGACCTGCCACCTGCAAGCCCTAAGGTGTCATCTCTGTCACCACCACCTGTAGCCCCTGCCTCAGGGTTACCCCTAAGCACCAGACAGATCAACAGGAGCTTGCTGAGGAGTATGAGACTCCTAAGAGCACAGTGCCCCCAGCCTGCAGCCCCCAACTCCTCCTAAGGAGGTAGCCCTGCCCAGCCATGCCAGTCAGCCAAGTGAGTGGATATGAGAGCGTGGGCCTGGAAGGGGAGTTATGAAGGGGCGACAGAGAGTCGCATGGGGGGGCCTTGTGTTTATGTGGTGCTTTTTATTGTTTTTGTTTGTTTGTTTGGGACAGAGTGTTTTTTTGAGATGGAGTTTCGCTCTTGTTGTCCAGACTGGAGTGCAAAGGCACAATCTTGGCTCACCGTAACCTCCACCTCCCTAGTTCAAGTGACTCTCCTGCCTCAGCCTCCCAAGTAACTGGGATTACAGGCGCGTGACACCATACCTGGTTAATTTTGTATTTTTAGTGGAGATGGGTTTTCTCCGTGATTATCAGGCTGGTCTTGAACTCCTGACCCAGGTGATCTGCCCGCCTCAGCCTCCCAAAGTGCTGGGATTACAGGTGTGAGCCATCACATCTGGCCTATGTGGTGTTTTTATTATTTATTTATTTATTTTTTGAGACAGAGTCTCACTCTGTCACCCAGGCTAGAGTGCAGTGAGACTTTTGGCTCACTGCAACCTCTGCCTCCCAGGTTCAAGGGATGCCTCAGCCCCCTGAGTAGCTGGAATTATAGGTGCATGCCACCACGCCCAGCTAATTTTTGTATTTTTGTAAAGATGGGGTTTCACCATATTGGCCAGGCTGGTCTTGAACTCCTTGACCTTGTGATCTGCCTGCCTTGGCCTCCCAAAGTACTGGGATTAAGGCGTGAGCCACTGCGCCTGATCCTATGTGGTGTTTTTTATTTTATTTTTTATTGAGATAGGGTCTTGCTCTGTCACCCAGGCTGGAGAGCAGTGCTGTGATCATGGTTCACTGAAGCCTTGAACTCCTTTGCTCAAGCGATCCTCTACCTCAGCCTACGTGCCTGGAGCTGGGACGACAGGCACATGCAGGAGCAAAAGGCTACTTTTTTTATTTCTATTTTTTGTAGAGATGAGGTTTTGCATTTTGTTGCCTGGGCTGGTCTTGAACTCCTGGCCTCCAGTCATACTCCTGCCTTGGCCTCCCAAAGTACTGAGATTATAGGCATGTGCCACCACACCCGCCCTATGTGGTGTTTTTTGAACAATTAATGCAGTGAAAGGGATTTATAAACAAATGCCTGGTTGTTTTAATTTCCTCTGGAAAAAACTTCCTCAAAAAGTCTTAAGGCCAGGGCCCCTCTCCCTGCCTTACCTTGCACCCCAAAGCCTTCCTGCTCGAGGCCTGAGTGGTTGATGCCTCGACTTTCCCACAACTCAAGGACTTTGCAGCCTGCACAGGATCTGCTCTTTCTCTGCTGGCGACAGACAGGCTCTTAGCAGCTTCCAGATTGTCGCCAATCTGGAAGGCCCCTCCTGTTCTACTCTCTGTCACCCCTTTGTATCCCTGCTTCCAGGCCCACCCACTCATACCTCCTCACTTGGCCTACTGACTGGCATGGTTGGGCACCACTATCACCTTAAGAAGGGGATGAGGGCTGCAAGCTGGGAGCACTGGGCTCTAGGGGGTCTCATAGTCCTCAACCAGCTCCTGTTTGATCTGTCTGGATTTATTTATTTATTTAATTTTTTTTGAGAAGGAATCTCACTCTGTTACCCAGGCTGGAGTGCAGTGGCCCGATCTTGGCTTACTGCAATCCCACCTCCCAGGTTCAAGTGATTCTCCTGCCTCAGCCTCCCAAGTAGCTGGGACTACAGGTGCCTGCCACCACGCCCAGCTAATTTTTATATTTTAGTAGAGACGGGGTTTCACTATATTGGCCAGGCTGGTCTTGAACTCCTAGCCTTGTGATCCGCCTGCCTCAGCCTCGCAAAGTGCTGGGATTACAGGCGTAAGCCACCGTGCCAGGCCTTTTATTTTTATTTTTTGAGGTGGAGTCTCACTCTGTCAGTCAGGCTGGAGTGCAATGGCACGATATTGGCTCACTGCAACCTTTGCCCCCCAGGTTCAAGCAATTCTCCCACCTCAGTCTCCTGAATAGCTGAAATTGCAGGCAGGTGCCACCATACCTGACTAATTTTTTTTTTAAGACGGGGTTTCACCATGTTGGTCAGGCTGGTCTTGAACTCCCGACCTCAGGTGATCCACCCGCCTTGGCCTCCAAAGTGCTTGGATTACAGGTGTGAGCCACCATGCCGGGCCATACCTGACTAATTTTTGTATTTTTAGTAGAGACAGGGTTTCACCATGTTGGCCAGGCTGGTCTTGAACTCCTGACCTCAAGTGATCACCCACCTCGGCCTCCCAATGTGCTTGGATTACAGACGTAAGCCACCACGCCTGGACTTTTTATTATGTTTTTTTTTGAGACAGGGTCACACTCTGTCACCTAGGATGGAGTGCAGTGGCATGATCTCAGCTCACGGCAACTTCCGCCTCCCAGATTCAAGCGATTCTCCTACCTCAGCCTCCCAAGTAGCTGAGATTACAGGCATGCATCACCAGGTCCAACTAACTTTTGTTAGTAGAGACCAAGTTTTACCATGTTGGCTAGGCTGGTCTTGAACTCCGGTTCTCTGGTAATCCACCTGCCTTGACCTCTCAAAGTGCTGGCATTACAGGTGTGAGCAATGGTGCCTAGTCTTGTGGGGTTTTTAGAAGCTGCAGCTGTGCCCTCCCCGCTAGCTGGGGCTGGGTGGTCTCAGGCTGCTTTGGCCAGCCCCTGGCAGGGTCTGAGCACGCGCTGCCTCCGCCCCAGGTGGGTTCAATAAACACCGGAGCCTTGCTTTGAATGCGCAGGTGCAGCGACTTGTACTTGAGGCTACTGCAAGGCGTCCTGCGGGGCAAGAAGCGGGAGGACCCCATGGAGGAGGCGCAGCGCCAGGAGGACAGCACGCCAAGGAAGTGAGCGGGAGGATGAACGGGACTGCAAGGAGTGGGGACTACAGCCTGCGAGGTGAGTGCCTCAAGAGATGTGCCTAATTTAAAAGCCAAGCAGGCGGGAGCAGTGGCTCACGCCTGTAATCCCAGCACTTTCAGAGGCTGAGGCTGATGGATCAGGAAGTCAGGAGTTTCATACCAGCCTGGTCAACAAAGTGAAACCCTGTCTATGCTAAAAATTGGCCGGGTGTGGTGGCACGTACCTGTAGTCCCAGCCACTCCGGAGGCTGAGGCCGGAGAATCATTTGAACCCAAGAGGTGGAGGTTGCAGTGAGCCGAGACTGCGCCATTGCACTCCAGACTGGGCAACAGAGCGAGACTCCATCTCAAAAAAAAAAAAATAAATAAAAAGCCAAGCTATTTTCCAGAATGTTTGTGTCATGTTACATTCCCAACAACACGAGAGAGCCAAACAATATGCTCAGTTCTTCCATACCCTTATCAACCCTTAGTATGGTCAATCATCTTATTTATTTTCATTTTGTTTTGAGACAGGGTCTCAGTTTGTCGACCAGGCTCGAATGCAGTGGCATGATCACAACTCACTGCAGCCTCGACCTTCCAAGTTCAAGTGATCCTCTCTCTTCAGTCACCTGAGTAGCTGGGACTACAGGCTCACACCACCATGCCTGGCATATGTGTGTGTGTATACATATATATATATTATTATTATTGGTAGAGAATTGGTCTCTCTGTTGCCCACGCTGGTCTCCAACTCCTGGGCTCAAGTGAGCCTCCCACCTTGGCCTCCGAAGGTGTGGGGATTACAGGCGTGAGCCACTGTGCCTGGCCGTTTGGGTGAAATTTTGAGTCAATAAAAAACTTTCTTGAGACAGGGTCTGGCGCTCTTGCCCCAGCTGGATTGCAGTGGCATGATCTCGGCTCACTGCTGCCCCTGCCTCCTGAGTTCAAGCAATAAGCATTACTGTGAGTCAGCCAACAAAGAGACAGGAGTCCAGCTCAAATCTGCCTCCTGTGCTGTTCTGAAGTCAGTGCTTTTTACATTTTTATTGTTTTTTTGAGACGGAGTCTCGCTCTGTTGCCCAGGCTGGAGTGCAGTGGCATGATCTCAGCTCAGGCCACTGCAACCTCTGCCTCCCGGATTCAAGCGATTCTCCTGCCTCAGCCTCCCGAGTAGCTGGGACTACAGGCCTCAGCCACCGCGCCTGGCCGAAACTAAACCTTTTACCGGATTTAACTCACTTCCTAGTAAAGTAGAACACGCGCGTTCCCTGGGTTGCTCTGCCATCCCAGGTTTCAGCAATAGGATATCGCTTGGACCCCCGCTAAGAGGCGGGGCTCAGGGTATGACGCCACTGGCCTCCAACGCAGTCGCTGAGTCTCACGTCTATGCTCCAGTGGCCTTAGCTCACTTCCGTGGAGGCGGGACTTCCGGCCTTCCTACAGCACTTCCGGCCAGAGCTTAAAGCTTCGCTGCTGGACAGTCTGCGGGAGGTGCCGCGGCTCAGAACACCTGGTCTCTCGGCGCGCAGGTGAGTTTCAAAGGTTCGGGGAGCTTACGGAACGAGCGTTCCTGGCGGGTGAGTCTCCGGGCAGTGCTCTTGGCGTTTTCTTTCTTCAGTTCCTGGAATCTTCCCAGATTGCCAGAGCCGGGCGTTGCCTGCTCGCTGCGTCTTTGACCCAACCCAGCTGTGCCGGCCCGAAGGCAGTGCCGAAGTCGAGGGCGTGTGTGCCGGGAGGCGGGCCAGCTGGCTGGGTTGGGACCGCCCTGCGCCTCCGGGAAGGCCTTATTTAGGAGTAGCCGGATGTGATCCCTTGCATGTTAAGCTTCTCTCGGAGAATTGGCATGTCACTTTGGAAGAGGTGAATATGGTACAGGCGACCAACAACTTTTCCAAGGTGTCCTCTTAGAGGAACAGCCCCGTGGTTCCGAAACACTTAACATTGGTTATGACGGAGAAATAACGTTAAGTAGGTGGAGAGCACTTAAAGCAACTATTTGTTTGTTTGTTTGTTCTTTTGAGACGGAGTCTTGTTTTGTTGCTCAGGCTGGAGTGTAGTGGCACGATCTTGGCTCACTGCAACGTTTGCCTCCCGGGTTCAAGTGATTCTCCAGCCTCGGCCTCCCGAGTAACTAGAACTACAGGCATGAGTCACCACGCCCAGCTAATTCTTGTATTTTTAGTAAAGACGGGGTTTCTCCATGTTGGCCAGGCTGCTCTCGAGCTGCTGACCTCAGATGAGCTGCCCGCCTCGGCCTCCCAAAGTGCTGGGATTACAGGTGTGACCCACCGCGCCTGGCCTAAAGTAGCTATTTTTACTTGGTGTTTACTACCAAATGGGGACTCTTCTAAGTTGTGGGTGGATCCAAATGCTTGTATGATAGATAGCTCCTCAGAGAAGCAGTCTTGGCGGGAAGACAGGGTTAACAAATTGCCAAACTGTTAGATAAAGTTAGTGGAGGTGGAGATAAAGAGAGAGGACTTCTCTTTTGTCTGGCATTAATAAAGCCACGGCCACTGACTTTTGATATTTGTTTTATAACGTTTTTCATCTTAAACTTAAAAAGTTTTAACTTGTCTGTATGCTCATAATTTATGTGCTGTTGTAAGCAGCATATCCCTGGGATTTTTTTTTTTAAATCAAAGTGGATAGCTTTTTTTTTTTTGAGACAGTCTTGCTCTGTTGCCTAGGCTGGTGGTGTGCAGTGGCCCAATCTCAGCTCATTGCAACCTCTCTGCCTGCTGGTTGCAAACAATTCTCCCACCTCAGCCTCTTGAATAGCTGGGATGACAGGCACACACCACCACGCTGTTAATTTTTTTTTTTTTTAATTTTGTCATGTTGGCCAGGCTGGTTTCGAACTCCTAACCTCAGGTGATCCACCTGCATTGGCCTCCCAGAGTGCTGGGATTACAAGTGTGAGCCAGCATGCCTGGCCCAGCCTGCCTTTTGACTGGCAGGTTTATTGGATTTATATTCATTGTTACTATTGTAATATTTGTTCAGATCAAAATCTTTGGTGTCATCCCTGATTAATCTCCTTCAGATATATCAGCAAATCCTATGGACTCTCCACCTTCAAAATCTGTCCACACATCCAAGCTCTTCTCATCACCTTCACTTGTTCAAGTTACATTGTCTCTCACTTGAATTACTGCAGTAGTTTCTGCTCTTTCCTCTTTCAGTCTGTTTGTATCACAGCTTCTTGATTGATCTTTCTAAAAACCATGGCAAAACCTGGTCTCTACGAAAAGTACAAAAATTAGCCAGGCGTGGTGGCGGGCCCCTGTAATCCCAGCTACTCAGGAGGCTGAGACAGGAGAAGAGCTTGAACCTGGGAGGCGGAGGTTGCAGTGAGCCAAGATCGCACACTGCAGTCCAGCCTGGGTGACAAGAGTGAGACTCTATCTCCAAAAAAGAAAAAATCAGATTTATCTCTTTCTTCTCAAAAATTCTCCAAGGACTACATATTTCACCCAGAGTAAAAGCCAAAGTCTTTAGAGTAGATTATTCATATAAAGTTTTATATATTGTGGCTCTGCGTCATTTCTGATCTCATCTTGTTCTAATCTCCTGTTTGCTCCACTCTGTGGCCTCCTCAAGCACATCCTAGTCTCAGGATATGTTTACTTGGTATTCCTTTCCCTCATATGTCCACATGGTTCAGTTCTTTTTTTAAACTTTTTTTTTTTTTTTTTTTTTTTTTTACGATGGAGTTTCTTGTTCCCCAGGCTGAAGTGCAATGGCGAGATCTCAGCCTCCCAGGTTCAAGCGATACTCCTGCCTCAGTCTCCCAAGTAGCTGGGATTACAGGCATGTGCTACCACGCCTGGCTAATTTTGTTGTTGTTGTTGTTGTTTGTTTGTTTGTTTGTTTTGAGACGGAGTTTCACTCATGTTACCCAGGCTGGAGTGCAATGGCGCGATCTTGGCTCACCGCAACCTCCGCCTCCTGGGTTCAGGCAGTTCTCCTGCCTCAGCCTCCTGAGTAGCTGGGATTACAGGCACGCACCACCATGCCCAGTTAATTTTTTGTATTTTTAGTAGAGACGGGGTTTCACCATGTTGACCAGGATGGCCTCGATCTCTTGACCTCGTGATCCACCCGCCTCGGCCTCCCAAAGTGCGGGGATTACAGGCTTGAGCCACCGCACCCGGCCGACTGTCATCTTTAACATAACCATTGCACTCATTATCCTTGTGCTTATCATATGACATACCATGTGATAGTCATTTATCTGGGCTATTATGTTTTCTCTCACTGGCATAGAGGATTTATTACAGAAGGTGTTTTTCTGTTTTGTTTACTGCTTTATTTCCCCCCCCCCCCCTTTTTTTTTTTTTAAGGCAGAGTCTCTGTTGTCCTGGCTGGAGTGCAGTGGTGTGATCTCTGATCATTGCAACCTCTGCCTCCTGGGTTCAAGCAATTCTCTGCCTCAGCCTCCCAAGTAGCTGGGATTACAGGCAGCTGTCACCATGCCCAGCTAATTTTTGTATTTTTAGTAGAGATGGGGTTTTACCATGTTGGCCAGGCTGATCTTGAACTCCTGACCTCGTGATCTACCTGCTTTGGCTTCCCAAAGTGCTGGGATTACAGACGTGAGCCACTGTGCCTAGCCTTTTTTTTTTTTTTTTTTTTTTTTTTTTTTTTAAAAGATCTCTTATTGTACTGCCGTGTAAAATCCATTACTGTTATATTCCGATTGCCTAAAATAGTATCTGGCTTTTAGCAGACACTACATAATATAGTTGTTGACTGAATGAATTTGGGGTTTTTGCACCATCTTCTACACTTTGTATTTTCTACGCTTTATTCCTCCTTTCTTGTCTTCCTCCCCTTACTTTTTTTTTTTTTTTGAGACAGGGTCTCCCTCTGTTTTTTTTTTTTTTTTTTTTGAGACGGAGTTTCACTCTTGTTACCCAGGCTGGACTGCAATGGCGCAATTTCGGCTAGGCGCAATCTTGGCTCACCACAACCTCTGCGTCCTGGGTTCAGGCAATTCTTCTGCCTCAGCCTCCTGAGTAGCTGGGATTACAGGCATGTGCCACCATGCCCAGCTGATTTTTTGTATTTTTAGTAGAGACGGGGTTTCACCATGTTGACCAGGATGGTCTCGATCTCTTGACCTCGTGATCCACCCGCTTTGGCCTCCCAAAGTACTGGGATTACAGGCATGAGCCACCGCGCCCGGCCGGGTCTCCCTCTGTTATCCAGGCTGGAGTACAGTGGCACGATCTCGGCTCACTGTAACCTCTGCCTCCCGGGTTCAAGTGATTCTCCCACCTCAGCCTCCTGAGTAGCTGGGATTATAGATGCGTGCCACCACAGCCCGGCTAATTTTTGTATTTTTAGTAGAGATGGGGTTTCACCATATTGGTCAGACTGGTCTCAAATTCCTGACCTCAGGTGATCCACCCACTTCAGCCTCCCAAAGTGCTGAGATTACAGGCATAAGCCACTGTGCCTGCCCCCCCCCTTTTTTTTTTTAGACAGAGTTTTGCTCTTGTCACCCCGGCTAAAGCGTGGCAGAACCATCTCAGCTTACTACAACATCCATCCCCTTGGTTCAAGTGATTCTTTTGCTACAGCCTCCCGAATAGCTGGGATTACAGGTTCCCGCCACTATGCCCAGCTAATTTTTGTATATTTAGTACAGACGGGGTTTCACCATGTTGGCTAGGCTGGTCTCCAACTCTTGACCTCAGGTGATCCGCCTGCCTCAGCCTCCTAAAGTGCTGAGATTATAGGCATGAGCCACTACGCCTGGCCTTTTTTCATATTTTTTTGCGCAACAGTGTCTCGTTCAGTTGCTCAGGCTGGAGTACAGTGGTGTGCTAAGGGCTCACTGCAGCATTGACTTCCTGGGCTCAGGTGATTTTTTTTTTTTTTAACCTAAACCTCCCAAGTAAATGGGCCTATAGGCATGCACCACCACACCCAGCTAATTTTTGTATTTTAATTTTGCCGATCATACTGAATTGAATCTGATCATAATTTTTAGTTTTATTTTCTATTTATTTGTTTTTTGAGGCAGTGTTTCTCTCTTGTTGCCCAGGCTGGAGTGCGATGGCATGATCACGGCTCACTGCAACCTCCACCTCCCAGGTTGAAGCGATTCTCCTACCTCAGCCTCTCAAGTAGCTGGGATTACAGACAGGCATACGCCACTATGCCCAGCTAATTTTCTATTTTTAGTAGAGATGGGGTTTTACTATGTTAGCCAGGCTGGTCTTGAATTCTTGACCTCAGGTGATCTGCCTGCCTCGGCCTTTCAAATTTCTGGGATTATAGGTGTTAATCCCTGCACCCAGCCTGTTTTAAATTTTTTTGTTTGAGATAGGTCTGGCTCTTTTGCCCTGCTTAGAGTGTAGTGCCTCGATCTCAGCTCACTGCAACCTCTCTCAGCTCACTGCAACCTCTCTCAGC